CCTGCACCCACATGGGAGACCCGGAAGAGGCTCCTGGCTTCAGATTGGCTCAGCTCTGGCCATTGTGGCCACTTGGGAAGCAGATCAGCAGATGAGGGTCTCTTTGTCTCTCCTTTCTATGTATCTGACTTTCCAATAAAAATAAACCTTAAGAAAAATAGGGCCCAGCACAGCCGTCTAGTGGTTAAAGTCCTCGCCTTGCATACGGTGGATCCCATATGGGCACTGGTTCTTGTCCCGGCTGACATACTTCCCTCCCAGCTCCCTGCTTGTGCCCTGGGAAAGCAGTAGGACGGCCCAAAGCCTTGGGACCGTGTGTCCCCATGGGAGACCCGGAAGAGGCTCCTGGCCCCTGGCATTGGATTGGCTCAGTTCCAATCATTGTGGCCACTTATGGAGTGAGTCAACAGACAGAAGATCTTCCTCTCTGTCCTCCTCTCTGAATATCCAACTTTCAAACCGAAATTAAAACCACATTCCCCAGAGGAAGGGTTCCAGAGCGGAAGCAGAGACAGAAGAGACAGCCTGGAAAGCACCTTCCAGGCAATGCGCCAGCAGCAGAGGCCAGTGAGAGCAGACGAGCCAGGCCGGCACGCCGAACGGCCTGGACGGCCCTGAGGGAGAGAGGCACGTGCGCGGACAGTACCTGATGCAGCAACTTCTTAATCCCGTCGTAGTCCATGTCTGAGATGCAGTAGGCTTCAAAGTCAACACTCACTTCCTGCGAACCACAGAGGACATCACCAGGCAGGGCGTTAAGACGCCTCAGGCTTTACCTCCTACTCTGAACTCTTCTTTTTCCTGCTTGTTCTTCCAGACTTTTACTATTTCATCTACAGAAGTCAGAGAAGTGACCTGAAGAACTGCCTGTGACTGGGATTCCAAACAGGCCCGCGCTGCCAGGCCTGCCAGCGCCCAGAGCCTGACGCAGCCAGGGCAGGACTCTTGTTTAAATGGCAAGCAAGTGTGGTCCAGGAACAACCTGAAGAGCAGCTACTGGCCAGACTATAAAAGGGTGGGAAAGAACCTGCTACAGAAGCTTCTGGAATTGCCTCAAGTCTGGCATGGCCAGAAGATCTGAGCTCCTGTTCCCTCACTCAGCAAACACACAGCCACCGGCGTGGTGCCACCGCACACAGCACACAGCACAGGGTCTGCTCAGGAAACGGGGCTAAGGGATACAAGACGCAGAAGGAACGTGAGATTAGCTACACTCGCAGGTGCAATGAAGCAAAGGAACAGGGAGGGTGCCTTCCCACTGTCCTGAGCTGGCGACCAGGTCCGAGTCAGGAAGGCTCCTGCACAGGGAGCAGCAGAGGGCCAGGGCAGCCCAAAGGCAGGAGGGCTACAGTGAGCATGTGGGGCTAGAAGGTTCCACGCTGGGCTCCCTCAACAAGCTCTGCAAAGCAGGAAAATCTAAGGGAAAACACCATGAAATAAACTACAGCACAGCGTCCCAAACAAAACCTGAGGTGCTTCTCCAAGTTGCACACGCCCACCGCCAAGAACGCCAACTCGTAACTGGCGAGGAACACCCTGAGCTCAGGCTGTCCGCGGTGAGGATCCGGCTCGGAGCTGCAGGACCCCGGCCAGCAGGCAGACCCAGAGGGGCCTCGCTGTAGCAGCTCTCCCTGGGCTGGCCAACTCCCCAGGGCTTGGCTGACTCAGACTTCAGCAGTTCACACTCAGCCATACCACGTGCAAAATCCAAGGATCGGGCCCAGCGGCGTGGCCTAGCGGCAAAAGTCCCCGCCTTGAACTCGCCAGGATCCCATATGGGCGCCGGTTCTAATTCCGGCAGCTCCACTTCCCATCCACCTCCCTGCTTGTGGCCTGGGAAAGCAGTCGAGGACAGCCCAAAGCTTTGGGACCCTGCACCCATGTGGGAGACCAGGAAGAAGTTCCTGGATCCTGGCATCAGACTGGCACAGCATCGGCCGTTGCGCTTGCTTGGGGAGTAAATCATCAGACGGAAGATCTTCCTCTCTGTATATCTGACTTTCCAATAAACAAATACTAAAAAAAAAAATCCAAGGATCAAGTGGACACTCAGAATGGGATCAGGCCAAACTAAATAAGCTGGCGTCATGCACATCTTAAGTAGATCCCTCCGAAATATTCTTCGGGGGCTGGCAATGTGGCACACTGAGCTAAGCCTCCGCCTCTGATGCCGGCAGCCCATATGGGTGCCCACTGAGTCCCGGGTGCCCTGCTGATCCAGCTCCCTGCTGGTGTTCCTGAGAAAGCACACAGGGCAGCCCTGCTGCGTGGGCCCTGCACTCATGTGGGAGATCTGGGGCGGCTTGCGCCTGTTAGCTTCAACATGGCCCGGCCTGGTCGGCTGTGGAGTGAGCCAGCTGGTACAAGATTCTCTCTCCCTCTCTCTGTACTTCTGCCTATTTTCAAGTGAAAAAATAAACCTCAAAAACAAATGAAAATACTTCAACTAATGTTCTCGTGGCGTGTTTTTTTCTTGGGAAAGCAGCCTAGGACCTCTTTCCCACTCTGCTATGGATTACCCCGGCAGCAGGAGACCCCCAACGGATCAGCCGACTCGAGACCCCATCCCTGCACGTGGGCCTCCCTGGGTTGTCGGGGTGCAGTGCTCTTTCAGAGCAAAGCACTGTCACTGCCCGCTCTAGAGGAGAAATACAGACAAGAACCAACAAAGGAATGAAGCAGAGAGGAGGCACAGGAGCCCTGGCTCCCCGACAGCCAGCCGGATGCAGCCCCCAGCGCCTGCCCTTCCCGCAGAGGCCACTCTCCAAGGCATTCCAGGCAGCACGGCAGCCCAAGCTGCAGGCCGGGGCCCAGCAGAACACGCCTTCCCCTGCTCCGGCTTTCTGCTGAATTCCCTAACACTCAGCGCTTCTGCTCGGCCAGCTGCCCCACCCTGGCCCTTCCCTCTAGACCACTCATCATCCGTGAGGCATATTCCCAATTCCCATGACAATTCTCATGGACGCTACGCCAAGGAAGTGAGCCGGGGACAAGTGACCACGTCGGAAAAGGAGGAAAGGGGAAGCCCATGTGTGTCCTGGGAAACACAGCCAAACAAGTGCGAGTGTCTGGCACAGCAGTGGGCCTGGGTTCAAGTCCAGCTTCCTGCTAAGGTCCATCCCCTGGGAGATTGTAGGTAATGGCTCCAGTGCGAGGGTCCCTGCCCCCAAGGCGGAAAACCCAGAGTTCCTGGCTCCCGACTCTGCCCTGGCTTAGCACCGGCTGTTTGGGCAGATGAACGGGTGGCTAGGCGACCTCTCTCTTTATATTAAAGTCACACATATCAGGCAGTAAAATTTACAATGAGAAGGGTCGATGTTGTATGCTAATAGACCAACCCACTCCACTGCCTCAAGTCCTGGCTACTCCACTTCGGATCCAGCTCCTGGCTGATGTGCCTGGGAAGGGAGTGGAGGACGGCCCAGGGGCTTGGGTCCCTGCAGCCACAAGTTGAGTTATGCTTTCCGAGAAAGTCTTCGATACACACAAATATATTTTCTCTTTATGAGCTACCAAGACTTGCACACGAGCTGCTTGACTCAATTTGCTGTGCAGTTCAAAGGAGAGTTGGAAAGAGGGAGAGCTACACAGACACAGGAGAGCGAGTTTCCAGGGCGGCTGGGCAAGGCAGAAGCCAGGAGCCAGGAGCTTCACCCAGACCTAAGCATGCTACGCCACGCTGGGCTTGCACCTGCTACCCCTAGGAGACACTGGCGTCGCAGGCGGCCACAGGCCAGCCTCTCCTTCCACACTCATACACCTGCCCAGGTCCCACCACACACACCCCCTTCTCCCCACGTGGCCATCAGTGAGTCACGGCTGCTAACGCAAGAAGCGCTGGCTTCTGCGAGCCCAGACTAGCACGGCATTCCAGGCAAGCGGCCGAGGCACGGTGCGGGCTGCCTCGGGGGGCGGCCGCGTGGAGCAGCTGGAGCGGCTCCAGGACCGAGCTCGGCCTCGGCAGCCGCCCTGACACCCCGCATGGACAGGGAACGTACCGCCCCACGCGACAACCTGCACCTGGAGGCCATGTGCTCCTCACCTGGCCAATGGCCTCGTCGTCTTCCTCCTCGTCTTCGTCACTGTCGTCATCGTCGTCCTCCTCCTCCTCCACTTCATCCTCCTCTTCTTCCTCGTCGCGCTGGACCGGGGCCCCCGGGACCCCATTTCCGACGGCTCGCCGCTTGGACCTGGACGCCATGTTCGCCACCCCGCCCCCCCGACACACACTGCGCCTGCGCATCTCTCCCGCAGCCGACCTTCCGGACTAACCCATCCCGCCCAGTGGGGTGGGAGATGACAAAATGTCGGCGCAGAGTCCACACGAACCCCAGTGGCCATGACGAATTCCATATCCACGAGCGTTGAAAGCCGCTGGCATTTTGGAGTAATATGCTGGACTTCTCTCTCTCCGTCCTCCCTCACTCCTTCTAACATATCTCTCCCCTTCACCTGTGGTTCGACCCGGGCAGCCCGCTGTCTCCTTCCGGAGTCCTGGAGGCGGCGCATGCGCGAGCGCCCGCTCCCAGCCCGGTCTGCGGCGCTGGGCTTTTCGGGGCGCCGCGCGGCCCGCGCGCTTACGGGTCCTCGCACCGCGGTGTTCTTGCCCCTGCGGCCCCAGTCCCCGACCTCCAGGCAGTGGCCCTCAGCCCCGCGAGGTAGGTGCCGCTGCCCGCGGGGCCGCTGAGTGAGGTCCCCGGGGGTCAGGGACACAGCGGGGCCCCTGCTGACCCGTCCCGCAGCGCCCTGCTTGTGATCTGAAGGGGTTTTTAAAGCGCACGCCGAACACGAGCTGCTTCCGGGGGTGGCCGGCTCTGGGCCGGGTCCTCTCGGCTTCGCGGGACCTGCAGGTGGTGGTCCCAGTGCTTGGGTCCCTGGCACCCACCCTGGAGACCCTCCTGCAGCCCTGGCTGCCGCAGGCGTTGGAGAGCGAGCCTACTGCTGAAAATTTGCTCTCTCCCTTTCAAAATAATCAAAGAAAAACGATTCATAGACCATAGTAGAGTATTTCCTCATTATATCTTTTGTTCTATAAGTTACATGACACGACGTTGACCACTTGGGCGATTTTTAAGTCTGAAGTTCAGTGGAATTGGGACATTTACACTGCCAGGCAATGGATGAGAGGGTGCCATCGCCAGAATGTCTCCCCATGTGCCCCTGGCTGCTGAGGCCGGGGCATGGCTCCCCGAGTGCCCCTGGTGCTCCTGCTGTCGTGTCACTCCAGCCTTGCTGGGTCCCCGGCTGCAGGCAGCAGGTGCTGGGATGTCCCCACCTCCATCAGTGTGTGAACCAGTGTCTGGAGAAGCAATAACTCGTGTCCCTTGTTGGTTTTGTTGCCCTGGAGAGCCCACCTACACCTTGCAAGCCCCTGATTGGGGCCCGACGAAGACTTACCAGTTCCAATACCCGGAGCAGCAGGGCCCAGAAAGTGTAGTGGTGGGGTCCGGCTTCCCAGTGAACTGGCCTTAGTCCGGGGTGCAGGTGCTTCCCCCCACAGTGGGAGCAGGTGTGTCCTGAGGTGTCGGGCACTTTCCTGACTTCTGCAGCAGCTGCTGGGGGCAGGTGTGTGTTGGTTTACTGAACTGCACAAGCTGAAACAGTTCAGGCGCAGCTCTAAGAAGCAGCTCGTTCATTCAGCCTGGTCCCACCATCCCAGACCTGTGTGTGGCAAACGGCTTACCCTGTGTGGCCGTCCGCGAGAGGGTCCTCACCCAGTCAGCTGGGCCTGTGGCATCCCTGGCTGGCCTTGCCACGGAAGCCAGCGGTGTGTCACGGCCCGAGGGACCTTCCTTGAGAGATTGGCTGTGGAGAATGAAAGCTTTACTGAGAGCCTCGGAAACACGGAGTGCATTTTGGGTAACCGGACATGATACGAGCAAGAGCTGCCCTTCCCCCGAGTCCCAGACCTCTTCCAACACCTCAGGATAGCAAGAATTAGCATTTAATGCGTAATTGTTGTTTGTTCAGCCAGGTTTTGTTGTTAAGTGCAGAGCAGCTCATTTGAGCCAGATTTCCCCAAGATGTTCCATGGATACTGCAGTATTCCAGAAACTCAGTCAAGTCGTGGGCCCGGGGGACTGGCTCCCAGAGCCCTCACGGCCCCTGCCAATGGTTCCCCAGCAGGACTTGCGCCGGCCACCGCAGGTCTGTGCAGCCGCTAGTGGTGTGCGTGGGTTATGGCCCGTCCTCTGTGTCACTGAGACCATGGCCGGCAGGTGTCTTGAGACCTGGGTGGTGGGGAAGGCCCTCCCTCCGGGCCAGGAGCGGTGGGTGCTGACTGTTCACGTGTAGGTAACGCCGACAGAAGTACTGGGTCCTCCTCGCCTGCCACACTTACTGCTGGTGCTTTGGTGTGTCTGTCACGTGTGTGTGTGTCAGAAGTGTGTAATCCTCCAGCCTGTAGTACTTGTGGTCACGTGTGTGTAATCGGAGCTGATGGCTTGGGTGACCGCTGCGTTTGCCATCATCCCGCCATGTTACAGTGCCACAGCTGAGCACAGAGCCAGCCCAAGCAGCCTACCTTCTTATCCTTGTGGATTTACGTGTTAGGGTCGTGGTCTTAGTGCGTATTCTTAGGAGTGATATGTGAACAAAGGTCGTGAACCCTCTGTGACACGGTGACCGTGTCTTCCAGGGTTAGGATTGCGTCATAACCCTTGAGAACAGCTCGATGTAGCTACTTCCTGATTTGATTTTCTGAGCGACTTAGTATGTCCATTGGGCAGTGAAATATTTTTCATCACCTCCCACTTTCAGATTCCCAGTTAGGTGTTTGTCACCAGTCCGGCCCAGAGTTCACAACCGCTTCTCTTCCACGAGCCAGAGATGGTGGGTGGGGGCCCCTGGCTGTCACGGACGGCTGTCACCCACCTTTCCGAGGGCTATCGGCCGCTAGCACACTTGCCTTCGGCGGCCTTATCAGGCCTGCACAGGGAACAGGCCCCGTGAGCACAGGGAGGGACAGTCTCAAGCAGGCAGTTCGGCGTCCTTCCCGCCCACCCAGGCCCGTCCAGCACTGCTTCCCGCGGAGCTGGCACACTCGGTAAGGACTGTGGTTCTGCCCGTCTCAGCTCACACAGGGACCGCAGGAGAGCATGAAAGTTCTTCTACTGAAAGATGCTAAGGAGGATGACTGCAGCCAGGACCCGTATGTCAAGGTGGGTGGCCAAGTCTGCTGACCCATAAACCCCGTAGCTTGCTGCTGGCAGAGGCGGGGGCCTGACAGGACCTGGGTTCCTGCTCTTCACGCCATACTGTGTCACTTGCAGGAATTGGGCTTGCACGGCCTGGAAGCAACGCTGATTCCCGTCCTGTCCTTTGAGTTCCTGTGTCTTCCTAGTCTCTCGGAGAAGGTGAGGGCTGCCTGGCCAGGACTGTACCTGCTCTGCTTACCTCCCACTGCCCAGCATGGCCTCCCCTGACCCCGGGCCACTGGCTGATCTCCCATCTCCTCCAGAGACCACAGACCCAGAGAGGGGGTCCAGAGCACCAACCCCGGGCTGTTCTCAGGGGTCCCTCCCACTAGCAGCCTGTAATGGCGTCTTCCTATCCCGTCTTCCACAAAGCCAGCCGGAAAGGTTTTGTTTTGTTTTGTTTTTTGCACATAGCAGTGGGGTCCCCTGATTGTGCAATGCAGCCCAGGCCTCTAGCAAGTAAGCTGTGGGCTCCGAGCCACAGCTGCAGTCCTGCGGCCATGTGTGCGAGAGACGGCAAAGTCTACTGTATGTGACAGCCTGTCCCAGCATAAACGCTCCGTAGGTTGTCTTGCAGTCAGCCCTTCAGGATTGATGTCACAACCTGAGCAGTACAGGTTTGTCACAGGTGCAGCTCAGCTCTTCCTTCCTGCCCACGCCGTATCACTGTCCCAGGCTGCCACAGGGCTTCCACTGCAGTCCAGGACCAGGAGCTGCTGGCAGACCTGCTGTGCGCGTGTTCGCCTGTGTGTCCTGAGAGCTAGAATAGCTCCAGGCGTGTAGCAGGCGCTCCATTGGTGTGTAATAGGCACTTCACATGTGTACAGCAGGTGCTCTGTAAGTGCTGGGTGGCTAGAGGCCCGGAGGGGTGGCAGGATCCGGTTTGGCTGCCACCATGGTAACGTGTTGGGATGTGGGTCACACTTTGTTGTGACGGAGTACCTTTGTTGCCCTTGCCGTGCAGCTGAGTCATCCTGAAGACTTTGGGGGCCTCATTTTCACAAGTCCCCGAGCAGTGGAAGCTGTGAAGTTGTCTTTGGAGCAAAGCAATAAGGCACAAGGTGAGAGCTGCCTGCTTGGAGTGCCGCAGGACCTGTATTTATGCCTGTTCTTCCCCTTGGGACAGTGGATTGCAGAAATGGCTTAGTGGTGCTGGGTCACAACCCTGCTTCCCCTGTGCCCAGCACCAGCAGACACGCGAGGGGACTGCCTCCGCGGTCCTTTAAACAGCCTGCTTGACATGCGTGTTGTCCTCAGAAGGTCACAGGCACAATTTTCTTGTCCTGAGAACGGGACAAAGCCCGCTTTTCCTGAGGAGTGACGGGAAGGTGGCTCAGCAGGCACTTAGAGACTTGGCCGTCTCTCACGCCTCTTTCTGCCCCTTGCCTGCAGCCAGACCGTGGAATCAGGCCACCACGGATGGGCCTGTGGGTCGCTGCTCCAGGGTGCACGCACCCACAGCTTGCTCGCTGACGGGCGGAGGGCCTGCTCACGACCCGTCCTTTGCATTCACTGTCCTGTCGCCCCGCAGCAAGCTGAGGCTTACAGTGCCGTGACTTGCTTTAGGGTTCGAATTGAACCAAAGCAGGCTGATCTGGGACTGGTATCCCACCCAGCTGGGGAGCTGCAATGCCAGCTGCCCTGCGCAGTCTCCCAGTTACAGATGAAAAGGGTGACTGACCTGAAAACCCCCAAGTTCAGGGTGGGAGTCACTCACTGTGCTCGTGGTTCCCCACGAAGCTTGGGAGAGAGTTTGTACTGGCTGTGGAGTGCTTAAATAAACGTCACCTTGTGGCTGGGAAAGGAGGCGGGACGTCTGTGGTGCCGACTGAAAGGCGTTTCCCTGAGGAGTCTGCAGGACGGAGAGCGGAGAAGGACGGCATCAGGCTTGGGAAGGGAGGACTTGCCTCCTTGTTGCTGGAAGCGTAGCAGACGCCTAGTGGGCTGTTCGTGCCTTTGTGCTGTTTTATCTTCACCTGGCCGTGTTCTGCATGAACGTGTTAATGGCTCTGAAACGCAGCGTTTCTCCTCTGACCTGCTAGATAACGAGCTCTGAGGCCGGTCTCATGGCAGCCGTCAGATGGATGCTCCACCAAAAGCCACCTGTCCCTTCTTGGGCAGCTGCATGCTTCTTTTTTTTTTTTTTTTTTTTTAAGATTTATTTATTTTTATTACAAAGTCAGATATACAGAGAGGAGGAGAGACAGAGAGGAAGATCTTCCGTCCGATGATTCACTCCCCAAGTGAGCGCAACGGCCGATGCTGATCTGAAGCCAGGATCCAGGAACTTCTTCCAGGTATCCCACACGGGTGCAGGGTCCCAAAGCTTTGGGCCGTCCTCTACTGCTTTCCCAGGCCACAGGCAGGGAGCTGGATGGAAAGTGGAGCTGCCGGGATTAGAACTGGCGTCCATGTGGGGGATCCTGGCGTGTTCAAGGCGAGGACTTTTGCCACTGGGCCCTAGCTGCGTGCTTCTTAAAGCCAGTTTTGAAAAGCCTAGGTTTTCAGTTCTTTTTTTTAATCTTTTGTCACCATGCAAACTAGCTCTTCAAGTCATATTTGTTTCCCGAAGATGTGACAGCAGAAGTTGCCAGTGTGGCCCGAGGGACGGATGTGGTCCAGCCGTGGACCTGGCTGGGCAGCCCTGGGCAGCACCGCAGTGGACTTCTAGTTTGGGATGCTGCTCTTCACGTCTGGCGCTGAAGGGCTTGCTCTGCCCGTGGGTTTCTCAGGGTCACCAGCCACCCTGTGCTGCTTGCATCAGGTGGCACCATGCCGGTCGCAGCTCACATGCCATGTCTTGCTTTGCAGCCTGGGAAAAGTCCCTGAGAGAGAAATGGAATGCAAGGCCCGTGTACGTGGTGGGAAACGCCACTGCTTCCCTAGGTAAGGCAGCCGGTGGAACAGCCCAGCTATGTCTCAGCCTTGGGTTTTGTCCCCCTGCATCTGTAGTGCAGTTTATAAGTTTTATTTATATGTATTAACTTAAAGATGTTATTGATAAAGTAAGGACCGACTAAGCAAATATAGTCAAATGTTACTAAAAATGGCATTAAACAATTGGTTACTTCTTTTGATGTACCTAATAGCATATCTTCAAAACCTTAATTAAAATGTTTGTAACTTTTGTCTCACTAATCCTATTATACATAAGTCTGCAGGTGGTGGTGGTGTGGCTGGTTTTCGTAGTATTTTTTGCATTTGCCCAAGCGGTCTTGAATTTACATATTGTCTTTAAAGCAAAGAAATGAAAATAAAGTCATTAAAAATTAGCATTGAAACATTTTAAATACTTTAAATGATACTCAGAAATTATGAACTATCTCACGGTGCCTCAATTGTCTAAATTAATTTTAAAATGTTGAGGGAAGATACAATCTGACAGTGAAAATAGTTCTGATAGAAAAAGCACATTTCCAGACAACCGGATGAAGTTGGACAGGAAACCAGCTGGGATTTTCAGGGTGGATTGCAAGGGACGCCTTAGCACCCCTGGGCACCAGGGCCCGAGCACAGCCCTTGGCCAGGCCATGGCTGGGCTGCCAGGGCACCTGCCTCTTCCCGCTGGAACCAGTTCAGAATTTGCTTGTCCTTTTCTCTTGCTTATGACCAAGCAGGAAGGAAGTCAGGCGATTGTTGGTTCATTGGCCTGAAAGCCAGCCGTCAAGTGGAGAGTAGATTGACAAATGTCCTTAGGTAGATCTGTGTGCTGCAGATTCAAGCTGACATGGCAGACCTCACGCCTCCGCCGTCAAGGCCCTTCCTGGGCATCCAGCAGCCTTGCCACGCTCTTTGCCCACGTTCTTTGCCCTTGCTCTGCTGTCAGACAGGAAGCGAGAAGCTCATCGTAGGTAGTGCAGTCAGGATCGCGCCATGTGGGGCGGCCCAGTGCTCAGGCTGCTCGCTGTTGAGCCAGTTGAACTGTGAAGGGCAAGGGCACGTGTTCTGAGTTCTAGAGACTCATTCTCCAAAGGAAAAGCAATGAGGAAGGTGTGGCTGGGAAAACCTCTGGGAGGCAACGCCAGTCAGTCTGCAGATGCACGCACAGGGAGGCAGCCCAGCCTGGGCTGGCCCTGCAGTGTCAACGAGGACCCTGTGCCGGGATAGGGTGCCTTTTCCTCTTTAATTGGCATGTTTTCCATGACCTGTACATGGAAGCTGATGGTGTTGATGTTGAAACTGCTGTTTGTCGATTGCCAAAGTAACTCGTAGGTGGGAGGCGTGTAGCACCTGTGTCCTCACCCCTGTGAGCCAGCCCTGGCACCTTTGTCGGCATCCCTGGCAGAGCGGGTGTGTGGTACCAGTCTGGATAAGAGTGGGAGAGCCCAGGCTTCCACTGCCTGTTGCCAAGCTCATGAGCATCACCCAAGTGGCCAGGACAGCCCCTCCTGTGAAGACAGAGTTCGGAGCCCCTGCTGGGCCCCCCTCTGGGCCCCTGCTGGCAGCATGTTAGAGGACTGTCCCTAGCGGCCTTCCAGTTCAGCCTGGCCCTGGCCATCCACAGCTTGTCCTTGGCCAGGGGCTGGCCACTATCTCCCTGCAAGGTCAGAGCTCCACAAAGCGCTGGATCCCCAGTGCTCGCCACCACTGCTGGCGGGCAGGAAGGCGGCTTCCCTGAGCACCTCCGTCACCTGCGCAGTGCTCCAGGCTCCTGGTGGATGAGCTCAGATGGGAGAAGGTAGCAGAGTCCCTACTCCATGGACCTGGCACCTTCACGGTCTGAGCAGACACGTTTCAGAGGAGCCTGGGTATGAGTGGTAAAGCGAGCAGCTGTGGGCAGTCAGCACATCATGCATTCTGGTCAGCTGAAGGCCACATGACGCCAGGATCACAGCACACCTGGTACCAGCAGGGCGCTGTGTCACTCGGGATGATGATGGATTCGCAGACCTCTGCACCGGCAGGTGTGAAAAACCAGAGCACACAGTCATCACTACCTAGGGCTTGTAGCACGTGTTGCCGGTGTGTGTGTAGTATTTTGATCATTATTTAGAGTGCCCTCCTGTGTTTTGGTAATAGTGTGACCTGCTGATGGCAGCCTCCTCTCTCAGGCTCACTGTCTTGATGGCATCGTTATGTTGATTTAATCCCACAGTGCTTGGCTCTTGATGGTTCTTAGATGTAGGCCACGTCACCAGGATGCGGCGTGGGCTGTGCCACTGAAGGCTTGTGTCAGTTTGTTGCGTGACGCTCACTGAGCGATGGCATTGCCCAAGCACTTGTTTCTCAGAACGCAGCGCTGGAGGAAGCAGCACATGAAAAAGTAACAGGAAGGAAGGGAAGGAGAGCACATGAAAAAGTGCGTTTCTGTGTTTTCCAGTGAGTCAGATTGGGCTGCGTACAGCCGGAGGACACTGTGGGAACGCAGAGAAGCTTGCTGAGTACATTTGTTCCAGTAAGTAGGAAAAGCTCGGCCCAAACGAAGCCATCTGTCTGCTGCTTGTGGCAACCCCTGTCCCCTGAGCAGTGTATAAAGTGCTCTGACCATCACTGCTCTGTGTCTATGTGTCCTTGGAGACGTAGCACACCTCATGTCTCCTGTTCCCGCTTGAGACAATACGCACGCGTTACCAGGTACTGTTTGAGAACAAAACCAGGAGCCCGGCTGGGTCCTCACTCGTCCCCTTCCCAAGCTCAGCCTCCCTGTCTCCTCCAGGAACCTCCCCCAGGGAAGAGCTGGGCGTGTCCCTGGCACTGGGGGGTCACCCTGGGTATCTGTGCCTTGGCTGAGCCCTGGGGACAGCTCCCTGTTGTGCTGCTGGCCTGTACCCCTGGCATTGCTCCCAGCCAACAGAGTCCCTCCTGGTTCTGGGGAAGGCCCACCAGAACCTTCGTGGCCCGGCAGCCCCGCTCCTGCTTCCAGGCCAACTGAGCTGCACTCAGTTTCAGGAGGAGACCCAAGGGAATGGAGTCATTCCTCATCCCCAGTCCCCGAGCTGTCGCTGTGTGTTGGCAGGTGCAAAGCAAAAGGCAATGGTGTCACATGAGCATTACACTGGTGCCCGCTCAGCCTGGTCCAGGAGATATGCAGGAAGCCTCCTGGGCGTCCTTGCATACCTGGGGACTACACTGGCCAGAAAGTTAGCCGTCCGGCTTTCTTGCTGGCCTCTAACACCTGCCCCGGGAAGAACTTTGGCTGTAGGTGGTGTGCACCCTGGCACCGTCCGAAACATTCATGTGGACGGGGAGATACGCCAAGGCCTCCCTGGGGAAGCAGCATCTGACTGCGACTGGGACACCTCTCTGGGATGTCACCTGCAAGTGCCTGACCGTGCTGCTCGTCCCAGAAGGCACAGCCCCTGCTCCTGCCTAGCTGGGTGGGGACTGTGCTGGGTGCATTTCTGAGCATGGTGGGCCCCTTTTCTGGTTGCAGACACCAGAGCGGCCATTAGAGAGACCTTGGGAGTTTGTGTCTGGCCAGCACCCACAGTGGCTGCTTGCATCTGCTGGAGAGATGGGGCAGGCATGCTTGGCTCCTGGGCCTCACATCTGGGGAAGGGCCTGGCATCCGAGCACCTGCCAGTTCTGCAGGATGGGATGGCTGCAGACAGGGGTTCCTGTGGCCTGCTATTGTCACCATTCTGCAGAGAGCTCGGGCTGCACCACTCTAACGTGCTTCCAGAGTGGGGCTGCAGGCCGGGGCCCTGAGAAAGGCAGGCCGGTCTCGGGGATGCCTGTCCTCTCGGCCCTTTGTGCGCCTCCAGGCCTGGTGGCCACTGGCAGATTCGGCTGGAGGTGGCTGCAAGGCCATTGCCAGCTTCCTCCCTCTCACCGCCACCCCTCTGTCCATGCCAGGCCTGCTGTTTGCCCTTCAGAGTTAACTCGGGCGCAGAATCTGCCCTGTAAATTTTGACCACAGGCAGGTGGTCACTGTAGGACGGGGAGGTCGAAGAGTGTGCACCTGCATGGAGGGTGTGTCGCAGGGAATGGGGAGTGTGTGTGTGTGAGTGTGTGTGTGTGTGTATGAGTGAGTGTGTGTGTGAGTGTGTGAGTGTGTGTGAGAGTGTGTGTGAGTGTGTGTGTGTGTGTGTGTGTGTGTGTGTGTGTGTGTGTGTGTGTAGGGGAAGTTTCTACACTCTGTTCAATTTACCTCTTGGGATTTGCATGCACCCTTCTCAAAGTTGCTTTTCCCGGGCACAGCTTCTGGGACTGAGACCAGGGAGCGGGGCCCGGAGCCCAGGGCTTCCCCAGTTCCCCACACAGGCCGTTGGCTCCTGACTTTGTGCAAGGCTTTCTACCAAGTTGTTCATTTCTTCACAGAGGAGTCTGTGCCTCTGCCTCTTCTGTTTCCCTGTGGCACCCTCAAAAGAGAAGTCCTGCCCCAGATGCTCAAGGACAAAGGTAACCAGGACGCAGCAGCTGCATCCCTCCTCTAGACGGGCTCCTTCCATCCCGGGCCTGCAGCCACGCTGGGGCTTCTGATGGGCTCTCCGAGTGCTGCTCATGCACCTGGCTTCCCAGCACCATGAGTCACGCGCGCGCGCGTGTGTGTGTGTGTGTGTGTGTGTACATGCACAAGCTTCATGGAGTGACCAGGGGCAGTCCTGTGTGGACAGACTCACACACATGGGACCTGCCGAGGGAGGCCTCTCTCATCTGTAAGCCTCCTGGCCACGAGCTGCTCCCAGTATTGAGCAGGCTGCAGAGGGCTGTCAGGGACCTGCCCCTGGCCTCTCCGTCTCTGCTGGGCTGTAGGTGGGCAGGCATTGCTGGCAAGGGCGCTCTGAGGTGGTGGGGTCTGTCATGTCCCCAGTGCAGTGACACCTGCTTGTTCGTTCTGTGCCCAGGACTCCCCTTGGAAAGCATAACTGTCTATGAGACGATTCCACACCCTGGCATCCAGGGGAACCTCAACAGCTACTACTGCAAGCAGGTGCATCACGGCCCTGGAGACGGTGGGCAGGGTCGGGGTCTGCTGGGGAGGCCGTGAGCGCACAGAGGGACTCTGTGCTGTGCCGTGCCGTGCTGCACGACTGAGCATGGGGCTCCTCTTCCTGAACGGCAACGGAACATACCACTGCACACAGAGCTCTTTTCTGTCTAGAGTCCAAGTAAGTGCACGCCTCCGGTCAGGCCATGGGGTCAGGCGCGTGCAGGCCTCCGGTCAGGCCATGGGGTCAGGCGCGTGCAGGCCTCCAGTCAGGCCATGGGGTCAGGCGCGTGCAGGCCTCCGGTCAGGCCATGGGGTCAGGCGCGTGCAGGCCTCTGGTCAGGCCATGGGGTCAGGCGCGTGCAGGCCTCTGGTCAGGCCCATGGGGTCAGGCGCGTGCAGGCCTCCAGCAGTGTGGGCCTTGGTATTCCCACAGGCCTCCTTGGTGTGGGAGCTGAGGGCGGGGGCGGGGCCCACCCTGGGAACAGTCTGGATTGAATCCAGGGTCCCTCTTCACCCTATGGCAGGAGCATGGAGAGAGCTCTTGCTTGGGCCAAGAGGCATCTGCAGCCTTACACTCAGGAGCCACTCCCCTGTTCGCCTGGAGCAAGCTTCTGCTGGGGCAGACCCAGAGCGGGGAGGCCATGGGCCCACGTGGCTGCTAACTGCTCTACATCCGGGGGCTGGAGCATTGACAGGGAGCTGGTGCCACCGCTGCCTGACTCCAAGAGGCCTTACACAGCATGCTGGACACAGGGCATCTTCCACAGCACATGGTCCCAGGCTGGGAGCCCAGTGTGGTGACCAGGCAGCAGTGCCATACTTTTGGCTTCTCAGAACTCCCCAGCATTCTGCCTGGAAGGACCCTGGGTTGCCACCATCAACCCTGAGCCAGACCTCTTGGCTCATGCACCGGGCCTCCCAGCTGCCAGAGCTGGAGCAGTGTCATCTGTCCTCGGGATGACAGCACCAGACCGACCAACCGCTCTCTCTTCCCACAGGGCATCCCAGCCAGCATCACCTTTTTCAGTCCTTCAGGCGTTAAGTACAGTCTCGAGCACATCCAGGAGTTGTCTGGTGACAGCATGGAGCAGATTAAGGTGAGGCCGTGGGTGTTTGTTCACTCTGCACACATCATCCCACGGTGTTTGCAGTGCACAAGGCCGTGTCCCACCTTCCTGCCCATCTCTTGGTGGACATGCAGATTTCCATCTAGGGCTATTGTGAACCACGCTGGACGTTACAAATACAATTTTCTGTGTGAACATCTTTCCTTTTGTGTTTGTGCCTGGGCGTGGAATTGCTAGACTTTATAATAACTTCATTTCACATGTTGGTGACTTGTCAACCTTTGCAAAGTGCTTGCACCATTTTGCATGCCTACTGGGCTTGTGTGAGGGCTGTGATTCCTTGTAACCTCACCAACACTTGCCATAGCCAGCCAGGCAGGTACCAATCCTTTGTCAGTCAGTGTAGTTCTGCTTTGGTTTCCCTAATGACTAGTCATGTGGAGCATCTTTTTAAGTAGGATCCTTTGAAGCTCACTGAAGTGTCGGATACGTTCTTTCTTCTGCTATTTGTGCCTTGGGTACTGTGGCTAAGAAACCATCATGCCATCCATCTTCCCAACTGGTGTTCTGTGCGGTGAGAGGCAGGGCTCTGCTCTGCAGTGAGAGGCAGGGCTCTGTGTGGTGAGAGGCAGGGCTCTTCTCTGTGCGGTGTGAGGCAGGGCTCTTCTCTGTGTGGTGTGAGGCAGGGCTCTGCTCTGTGTGGTGTGAGGCAGGGCTCTGCTCTGCAGTGAGAGGCAGGGCTCTGCTCTGTGTGGTGTGAGGCAGTGCTCTGCTCTGTGGTGTGAGGCAGGGCTCTGCTCTGCGGTGAGAGGCAGGGCTCTGTGCGGTGAGAGGCAGGGCTCTGCTCTGTGCGGTGAGAGGCAGGGCTCTGCTCTGTGTGGTGAGAGGCAGGGCTCTGTACGGTGAGAGGCAGGGCTCTTCTCTGTGCGGTGTGAGGCACGGCTCTGCTCTGTGCGGGAGGACAGCAGCCTCCCCATTCTGTCCTGCTGACAGCAAGGCAGCTTCGCCTCAGGCCACCGAGTCGACGCATGTGTCTGTCTAACACCAGCCTGGTTCCTGGGAGGCAAGATGGAGAGGTGTCATGGGAGGGCCCTGGCCATCCAGCGTGCTTTATACGCTGCATGGGCCACCCCTTCATCCAGAGGGGTGGGGAAAGGCCCACGTCCTCTCTGCAGAGGCTGTGTTGACCTCCTGTGACCTGCACACTGGCCTGGTGGGTAACAGTGATTAGGCCCTTTTTCTAGAAGAGAAAGCAGGAACAGAGAGGCTGTGAGGCACTGGGGGTGGGCTAGAGTCAGAATAAAGCATCCGGTGGGGCCCTGGCCATTTCGCTGACATGGTACCTGCTCAGGGTTGGGTGCCTGCTGTCCCAGAGGCCATGCTGGGAGCTGCAGCGGCGGCCTTAGATAACCTCAGTGGCCGGCTCTGGGACCCACCTCTTGCACAAATGAGGAGATGGGATAGTGATGCGGGTATGCCCTGACCTGCTCCAGAGTCCTGATCTTGAGTGCTTTGTTGTTCTGGGGGAGCCAGTCAGCACCCCTGCCCTGCCCGGGACCCGGTGCTGCTCTGGGTCTGCAGTGAGATGGTGGAGCACAGTGCAGCGACTCTGTTTTAGGACTGCAGCTCTTCGTCTTCCTTCCTTGCAGTTTGCAGCCATCGGCCCCACCACAGCCCGCGCCCTGGCCGCGCAGGGCCTTCACGTGAGCTGCACCGCCGAGAGCCCCACCCCACAAGCCCTGGCTGCTGGCATGAGGAAGGCACTCCAGCAGCCTGACACCTGTTGAACCACTTAACACCATCAGCTGCTGCCCAGAGCAGGACTGCAGGGAGGGCGCGAATGGCAACGGATGTGGGCTGGCGGTTCACCCACGTGCACGTCTATGGATGCCAACTCGGACCTCGCCCGGCTGCGTGCAGCCCCAGGCCCTGAGAACACCGTGTGCTCAGGCAGGAAGTCCAATAAAGCCCCTGGCCGCAATGCTCCCTGTGTGTGACTTGTCGCTCCCAGTGTGTCGTTCTGGTGCCAGTGCCAGGAAAACATGGGCATGCCTGCCCCTGCTGTTGGGCAGACCTTGTGTGTGACATGGAACCTGCAATGGGGAGCGGGCATGCTCTTTTGACACAGGACCTTCGAGGGCCAGCGTCCTGAGCTCCGGATGGCTTCAATGCAGACAGCGCAGCGAGACTGTTGCCTTGGGAAACAGCCACAGCGCTGGGCAGACAGTGTCCCGGGAACCAGGAGGTCACATTCCCTAGTAATGCCATGCCCTGCAGAAGGCACCGACACTGTGTCCTCAAATGCTGTTTCCACTTGTGAAAGTCTGCCCAGAATTGGAACTGGGCTGAAGGAATCCGTGGGCTGGTGCGGGGAGAGCCAAGTGCCACTTGCATGCCCCGTGGGCTGCTGCGGGGAGAGCTGAGTGCCACACACACGCCCGTCTTCTAGGAAGGCCAGGACTGTGAGGCCTCAGGCCAAGAGCACCACACCCCGTCCACTGCAGGGCCTTGGGCATCCATGCTCCTCTGAGCAACCCTGATGAGGGACCTTCCCTATCACCTATTTTTCTGGAAAGAGCTCAAGAAGTGGAATGACTGGTCCAGACAACACAGTTGGTCAGCGATCAAGGACCACGCAGCCAGTGACTGACAGGGCCAGGGCGCATGTGAAAGGAATGAATGCGTGTAAGCACCAGGTGCGGGTAAGCCAAGCTCCCCAGCCTCCTGCTCAGATCCCAGCAGCAAAGAAGAGACCGCGGTTTCTTAGTAAAAACTGTGGGGTCATGGACAGTCACCCCACAGGGGTTTCTTTCTGTCTAGGATTTCTTCATTTATTTGAAAGGCAGAATTAGAGAAGGAGAGACAGGTCTCCCATCCACTGGCTCGTTCCTTAGAAGTCAAAAGGCAGGAATTCCAGCCCTCTGTCCTCCATGGGAGAAGGGCCCGAGACCTGGGCCACCTTCTGAGGTGCATTTGTCGAAGACTGGGGTGCAGGCGGTGGCTTTGCCTGAGCCATGTCACACACTGGTGCCCCACAGGCTGGTCTGGACAGCCAGGCTCCACTGCTGAGTGTGAAGTCCTTGCCACATAGGAGGCGTTGGTCCTGGGGGGACCCCGGCGCAGGTGGCTGGTGTGCAGTACCATGGCCGGCACCTCCCTCCCTCCTGCAGGAAAGGAGGCCGAGGAATGGATCCTGAGGAGAACGTGTTCGCACTTCCCCTCCAGCCCCCTGCTTGTGGCCTGCAAAAGCAGCAGAGGGTGGCCCGGGTCCCCACCTGAGACACCAGAGGAAGCTCTGCGCTTTGGGCTGGCCACTATGGCCGTCGGCAGAGTGGGGCAGAGGATGGAAGGTCTCTGTCTTCCCCTCCCACACTCTGAAACCATGACTTTCAAATAAATAAAATCTTTCAAAAACTAAAAATTAGCTCTGTGCCAGGAGTATTAGCTGAACACCATTTCCCTGCGAGAAAACACTGTGTGGTTTGTAGCAGACGGCAAGCTAACAGGACACATGTCACTAGGGTAGAGATGGCAGGGCTGGGCCACCTGGCACTAGCGCCCTTGGCTATGAGCAGAGGACACGCCAGCTGGGAGAAGTGTATCTCCCAGCCTCCCCAGCAGGCAGCTGTGGCAGGGGCTAAGCTGTAGCCACTGGGGCGGAGACGGATGAGATGGGGACAGGGGCCCTGCCTTTCCTGGCAGCCCAGGTCAGGAGTGAGGGACATGCATGTTGTTGTTCTCACTGGGGTCCTGGATGGCTGCTGGAGCTCCATTCTTTGGCTTGCATTCTGGGAAACAAGAGGCAGGGTGGGGCCAGCTGCAGGCCCATCTCATCCGTCTCCGCCCCGTGGCTGCAGCAGGGGAGGGTGAGCTGTGGCCGGGGTGGGCTGTATACCTCACGGGAGAGGAGCATGCTCAGAATCCTGCCGGAGGCTCCTGTCAGGCCAGGCGCACCCACCCCCGCCCCGGACTCCAGCAGTCCCGAGGGAGGGTGGCCTTCTGCCCTCACTCTCCCGAGCTGCCACCTACTGGTCACTCTGCACCCCGCCAGCAGCGACTGACAACGTCTTGCCTTGCACGCCTGCCTGTCCACGTTCCCGGCAGGCCAGCCCTGTGGACGGCATGACCTGGCCAGGCCACACGCTGCAGTGAGGAGTGGGACGCGGGAGACTCGCGGCTCCCTGGGGACTCGGAAGAGGCTGTGCGACCCACAGCAGCTTCTCCATCGTCACGTGGCTCCACTGAACCTCGGATAAAATCCCACAACCCAAAGAATGGAACAAAATGGGACAACGGTCCATCTCCAAGATAGTGAAAACCTCCATTCAGGAGTGCAGGGGAGGTGCCATGATTGTGAGCAACGGAAGAGGAGGCTGTGGCTTGTGGACAACTCCACACACGTGTACACACATGTGTGCTACATATGCGCTCTCTCCCTTTATTCCTGCTAATTAAAGAGGTTTGTTATCGCACCGGGTACAATGGCTCAATTGGCTAACTCTTCCTCTGCAAATGCCAGGGTCCCATATGGATATCAGTTCGTGTCCCAGCTGCTCCACTTCCCATCCAGCTCCCTGCTTGTGGCCTTGGAAAGCAGCCTCAAGGACAGCCCAAAGCCTTGGGACCCTGCACCCACGTCGGAGACCCAGAGGAAGCTCCTGGCTCTTGGCTCCACATCGGCTCAGCTCCAGCCATTGCAACCACTTGGGGAGTGAACCAGCAGATGAAGGTCTTTCTCTCTCTCCTTTTCTCTATTAATCTGCCTTTCAGATAAAAATAAGTATTTAAAATGAATAAGGTACATTGTGTATTTTTTAAAAGATTTATTTATTTTTATTGGAAAGTCAGATATACAGAGAGGAGGAGAGACAGAGAGGAAGATCTTTCATCCAGTGATTCACTCCCCAAGTGATTGCAATGATCAGAACTGAGCCAATCTGAAGCCAGGAACCTGGAGCCTCTTCCAGGTCTCCCACGTGGGTGCAGGGTCCCAAGGCTTTGGGTCGTCCTCACTGCTTTCCCAGGCCACAAGCAGGGAGCTGGATGGGAAGTAGAGCAGCTGGGATTAGAACTGGTGCCCATATGGGATCCGGGCGCATGTAAGGCAAGGACTTTAGCTGCTAGGCCACTGTGCCGGGCCCATTCGTGTATTCTCTTTATAAAGAGACCCTGAGGCCACAGCAGGTAAAGCCACTGCCTGCAACAGCAGCATCTCTTACGGATACCAGTTCAAGTCCCGGTTGCTCCACTTCCCATCCAGCTCCCTGCTACTGCACGTGGGAAAGCAGCAGAACATGGGCCAAGTGCTGGGCTCCTGCTTCCCACATCTGAGACCCAGATGGGGTTCCTGTCTCTTGGCTTCAGCCTGACCCAGTCCCAGCTGTTGCAGGCATCTGCAGAGTAAAGCAGAAGACGGAAGAGCTTGCTCGAACCCGCCGCCGTGGGGCCCGGTCAGACTCACAGGATGTAGGGCAAGGCCCAGCGATTCGATTTGACTGGGACAGCATACTTGCGCAGCATGTCAACATGGAGCTGGGATCCACAGGCACGTGTGATCTGAAGGGGTGAGGAGTTCTCGCACTACATAGTCAGGTGGCCTGCAGTCTTCAAAGGAGGCCTCCTGACCGGCACACTTCACGGTTGGGTGAGAAATGTGTGGAACTCTGATACCGGTGCTTATAAAAGGGCCCAGTCCCTCTGCTCTGCAGGAAAGGCCCAGGGGGACGCAGCGAGGAAGGAGAGGAAGGAGAGCCCAGGGGGACTCAGCGAGGAAGGAAGGCCCAGGGGGACGCCACGAGGAAGGAGAGCCCAGGGGGACTCAGCGAGGAAGGAAGGCCCAGGGGGACGCAGCGAGGCAGGCCAGAGCTCCGGCCAGGCCATGCTCACAGCCTCCTTTTTCTATCTGATTCTGCTGCTCTGGGGGCTGGCAGCCCCCCGGCCTGCCCAACCAGAGATGCTCTTCCACAGCCGGGACCACTCAGACCTGGAGCCGTCGCCCCTGCACCAGGCCAAGCCCATTGCGGACCTCCCTGCCGCACAGGTAGGAGTCCCCAAGCGGCGACACAGCGTGTGTGTGTGTTTGCGTGCGTGTAGGCGAGCATGCGCATACGCACACCTGCACAGGCCACGTACCAGATGGCGCAGAACATGGGCAGGTGGGCCTTGTGGGAAGAGTGGCTTCCACAGCTCCAGCAGCGACAGGGACAACCCCGTGCTGGACCCAGAGGGCATCTATCTGACCCAGGGTGACTTGTGCTAACGCTGGCACGCACACAGCAGGCTAAAATGCCCAGCCCATCTCAGGGCATGTGGCAGCTGTCCACTGCCAGGTGGCCTCATGAGGGCCTTGGACCCCACACATGGCACTGAGCTGCCCTCCATGCAGGGCAGAGTTGTGGGGAGCCCATGGCTTGCAGGAACCTTCCTGGGTTTGCCTTATGCCCTTTGTGAAGCTGGCAGGAAGCTCCAAGCCCTCAGATGCAGCCAAGGTCCCCCGGTTCTCACACCCAGGCCCTGCTGCCAGGCCCCCAGGGTATAATGTGTGGTCTAGCCTTTCCAGCTTCCTAGTCGTTTCTGTGGCTCCTCTCCCGGCAGTCCTCCCCACCAGGGCACAGGGCCATACCCTCCACACCTAGCCTCTCTCTCTCTCTCTCTCTTCTTCCCTCCCCCGGGGCAGGGCAATCACCAGGGTCATAGAAGGCAGCCCCACAAATCCGGGTGCATTTCTCTCCCACAGCGGTTCTTGTCCAGGTACGGCTGGTCGGTGCCCTCAGCCTGGGCGCCCAGCCCCAAGCAGCTGCCGGAGGCCCCTGCGGGCACTGCCCTGGCTGAGGCTGTGCGCAGGTTCCAGCACGTGAATGCACTGCCAGCCAGCGGGCAGCTGGATGCGGCCACGCTGGCGGCCATGAACAGGCCACGTTGTGGTGTCCCCGACACACGGCTGCCACCCCCTGCGGCTCCCACATCACTTACACCCACACCGGCCCCCCTAGGCTCCTCAACCCCACAGGGCCTGCAGCCCCAAGCCCGATCAAAGCGCTTCTTGCAAATGCTGCTGCCCAGGCCAGGCAGGCAGCGGGAAGACTCCCCTGCCGGTGGGGCCGCCAGGATCTTCTCCAAGAAGACGCTGAGCTGGAGGCTGGTGGGCGAGGCCTACAGCAGCCAGCTGTCCGTGGACGAGCAGAGGTCAGTTTTCAGACTGGCCTTCAGGATGTGGAGTGAGGTGACACCCCTGGACTTCCGGGAAGACCTCACAAGCCCTGGGGCTGCAGTTGACATCAAGCTGGGCTTTGGGCGAGGTAAGGCGGGTACAGGTGTGGGAGCCACTCCTGCCCTGTCACCAGTGGGGGCCGCCCTCCCCTGTCACCTCCTGAGTTAAGCAGAGTTAAGCGCCCCCCCGCTACCCCCTCCCCCTCCCCCCCTTTATCAGCACTCACAGCAAAGGGACTGCGCCTGCGCGAGACACCAAGGCCAGACCCTCTGCTCCACAGCAGGCTGTCCCGGGCACAACTGGCCTTTGGGCAAAATCCCCAAGGAGCACGTGGTGTGCCCGGAAAAGCACCCCTCCATCCCTGTGCCCCTCCCTCCTCCCGCAGAGGAAGGGTGAGAGACCGGGCAGGGGGCTGTGTGGGGCTGGACGAGCACCCCAAATTCTGCATAGACTGTGTGGCTGCTGGCTCAGGGCGGCCTGGCTGGACTCTAAGAGGAACAGCTCCCGGAGGGAACAGGTTGTCTGGCCTCACAGCGAGCAGCCAGCTGGAGGATGCCACCTGGGCACCTCAGTGCCCGCGGCCCCTGGCACCTCTCGTTGTCCCCCTGTCTTCCCACTCTGCCAGTGCAGTTCAGCAACACAGTGTTGCCACCACATGCGTTTCCCCCGGGCTGGCCCCCAGCTCACGTCTGGCCGGCGGGGTTTGTGAGGGGCCCTGTGCACTAGATGCTCACATGCCCCGTGGCGTCCTCTCTCTCCCCTGCCAGGCCGGCACCTGGGCTGCCCACGGGTTTTCGATGGCAGTGGCCAAGAGTTTGCGCATGCCTGGCGCCTGGGTGACATTCACTTTGACGACGACGAACACTTCACGCTGCCCACCAGTGACAGGGGCATCAGCCTGCTCAAGGTCAGGGTCACCAGGCTGCGTGAGGGAGGTGTGGAGGGCAGGTGCCCTGGGCCAAGGCCCACAGAGGGAGAGCTCTCCTGGGACGTGTCCCCGTGCTTCTGAGCATGCTCCCTGGGCTCTGGCAATGGTGCCCTGGGTCTCACCGTGCACACCGTGGGAGGCACAGGCTGGCCTCCACCCTTGGCAGTGCAGAGGCTGGTTCCAGTGTTACTGCAAGGCCTGGCCCTGATGTTGCACAACCCTTTTCTAGGTGGCCGTCCATGAAATTGGCCATGTCCTTGGCCTGCCTCACACCTACAGGACAGGCTCTGTGATGCAGCCAAATTACACCCCCCAAGAGCCTGCATTTGAGTTGGACTGGTCGGACAGGAAAGCTATTCAGAAGCTGTATGGTAAGCCCAGGATCCCCTGGGAGCTGCCAGGCACTGTACCAGCTGCCCACCCAGAGAGCGCTAAGTTGCTCAGCTCCAAGGTCACTCCTGAGCAGCTGCCCGCTGCCTCTGTGACCAGGTCTTGTAGCTGAAAGCGGATGTGCCCAGGCCACACCACTGCGCCACCACGGGTCCTCCCTGGTGCGTCCTCCTCCACGCACTGCAGGGCAGGGATGCTGGGCAGGAAAACCACAGTGAGCTTCTCACCCACGCAGCAGCGTCCGCACGCACTGGCAGCTGCTGGATGCTTAGGCCACCCCAAGGCAAAGACCGGTGTGGCCCTGCCAAGATGAGCCTTTTCTTCTCTGAGACGAAGACTTTTCCCTTGCACAGCCAGGCCCGGGTGCAGTCGGGCCAAAGCCACTGGCTGGGGTTCGTTCTGGGCCTCCTTCCTGGGTGGCAGCGAGCTGTGTACTGGGTGTCATCTGCTCCTCCTGAAGGGGAAGTGATGGAGCTGGAGGCAACAGGCCCACAGAGGGGAGGCAGGTGGCCCAGGAGGGGGCTTGGCAGCTGTGCCAAATGCCAGCCCCAGGACAGGCTTTAACTGGTAACCGAAACCCTAGTGCTTATCTAATTAAAGTGGCCCCTCATGGAAACGTCCCTTTCCTGTTGTGCTTGCACGTGAGTCCTCGGAGCCTGTGAAAACCGGGTCACACTGACCCCCATCCAGTGGCAATCACGCCCGGAACCACGCTTCCTCTCTGATGGAGGCGTCAGCTCACCCAGGGGAGGGTAGTCATCCCCAAACAACCCTGCGTGCAAATGGAGACACTTGGAGGAGTGATGTGGAAGCCAGAGCAGCTTACAGGGTCAAGGCTGGCCAGGGCAGACCCTGGAGCCCCGGTGCCAGCTGCTCAGCCATCCCGTCACCCCCAGCTGCCCTGTCAGCTGCTAGCACCCACCTCAGAATGTTACTGTGCCTCCAGCCACACAGCGAGGCAGCGACACGGCTGGGGTTTAGACCCTGGTACACCGGGCCGGATTCTTCTGTTGTGTTTTAGGCTCGTGTCAGGGATCGTTTGATACTGTCTTCGACTGGATTCACAAGGAGAGGACCCAGTACGGGGAGGTGCGCGTGAGATTCAGCACGTACTTCTTCCGCAAGAGCTGGTACTGGCTGTACGAGAATCGGAACAACAGGACACGCTACGGGGACCCTAGCCGCATCCAGGCCGGCTGGCGCGGGATCCCCACCCAGGGCATCGATGCCTTCGTCCACGTGTGGACGTGGAGGAGGGATGAGCGCTACTTCTTTAAAGGTAAGGATTCTTCACGGCCTCCCCAGTCCTAGCAAGCTCAAGTATTCCTCATCAGTGTCAGGAGCTACCGCTTTGGAGATGGCTGGAAGCTTGGGAGCTGGGAGTTCAGAAACCGGGTTTCTCCCGCCAGGGATCTGGCTAAGGACCTTCAGGAAACCCCTAGCGAGGGCCCGGCCCTGGCAGAAGCTTCAACCAGCCCTGGAGGAGATCTGCTGGGGGGTGCCAGGGGATTCTGCGCCCACCTGCAATCGGATGCTGGGCAGGGCCCGGCGATGCAGAAAGGGGTGCCAGGTGGCTCAGGTGGCCGGGAGCTGGGAATGGTTCGGACACGCCAAGAGCCAGGGCACCGAGGATGCACAGGCTTCCATGGGTGATCCTGCCGTGGACCATCTGTGCTCCGCTAGGAAGGTGTGGCTGGGGTCCTGGGGAGCACATGGGGGGCAGGCAGGGGCTGTCCTGCACTGCGTTCCCTGATTCACACACTGCTGCCAGCTCTGAGCACAGGCACGGACCCAGTGCAAGCCAAGGGGCTGCTACCCCAAACACCCTGCCGCGGCTATCGTTACCCCACCCTCTCCCGACGCAGCGTCTCCTCTGACACTGCTTTACGGTGACCAACCAGACCACAAGGCCACAGCCAAACCAGAAAAGCTCCCTGTGCAGTTTCCCACAAGCATCACGTGTCTGGTCTTGGGTGGCACTGGCTCTGCCCAGATAACGGAGCGACCGCCTGACGGCACAGGCGCCGGGCTCAGGCCTTGGGCTGAAGGCACGCCCTGCAGTGGCTGAAATGTCCCGCAGTAGGATCTGTGCAGGCACCGCCCACAGGCCCGAATTCCAGAATTAGGTGGTCACGGGAACAGTCCCAGTGCAAGCTGCCTTCTCACCTTGGAGCTTAAGAAACACCTAGAACTTCACGTTAGCTCCAGTTAGGGTGACGTGTGCGTCACACTGTCCTTGCACACTTCCAGGTGCAGGGCCAGCCTAAGGTGTGCTCTGAGCTGTGAGCAGTGCTGGAGCTCTGGCTGCAGCCCAACTTCCAGGATCAGGAGCCGATCGGGAAAGCCTGGTGCCCCAAGTGAGGCTCCGGATGCTGAGCTACAGACTCCTCCCGAGGCCGGCATAGTGTCAGCTCGGGGGAAGGCGGGGTCAGGCCTGCTTCCTCAGTTGTAAAAGCAAGGGATGATGGAACTGGGATTCTAATGTGCTTGAGAAAGGGAAAATCTGAGTTTCGTAAAATGAGGGCCTAACCAGTTCTAAGCAGTTAGACCAGGACACGGCTCAGCAACCCAACACGGTGCTGGCATGGAAAGGGAAAATGCCATGTGGTTCTGGAACGCTTCTTGCGTTGCTTACTGGGGTATCACATGTGGACACCCGGGACTCCTCTGTCACGTGCCAGCCGTGTTGACACATCCTGCTTGGCTCTCAGGACACCGGTACTGGAGATATGACAGCGACCAGGACCAGGCGCTCACGCAGGACCAGCAAGGGAAAAGCTACCCCAAGTTAATTTCCCAAGGATTTCCTGGCATCCCGAGTCCACTGGATGCCGCCTGTTTTGATCGCCAGCAGCAGCAGATTTACTTCTTCAAGGAGACCCTGGTGAGTGGGACAGCCAAGGGCCAGTGTGGGCCAGCCGTGGGAGAGCCAAGGGCCAGTGTGGGCCAGCCATGGGAGAGCCAAGGGCCAGTGTGGGCCAGCCATGGGCCAGTGTGGGCCAGCGGTGGGAGAGCTTCCTGGCAGCTGTGGGAGAGCCTCGGGGCAGCCGTGGGCCTCGTGCGGCTCGGCCCCCTCAGATGAGTGTTCGAGCCCCCCTCACTCCGTCCTCGCTGCAGATGGGGGTACTCTGTTCAAACACTTTCGGACAGCGCAACTACAGCCCATTTTTTGGTGTATCAGTTTCTGCCACTGTGCATACACAGGGTCTCCAAAGTTCATGGAAAGTGGCTATTTTGGAAATACTCTGCCTGGATTTCAGACCTGGCCGCCCACATCAGGGACCTCCCAGTGCCTTACATCCCCATCTGCTTTGTAGGTGTTTGCGTTCGATGTCAACAGAAACCGAGTTCGAAGCTCCTACCCGATGAGGATGACGGAGGCCTTCCCGGCAGTGGTGCCCCACAACCACCCCGTGCGGGCCATCGACGCGGCCTACTACTCCTATGCGCGGGGCTCCCTGTTCCTGTTCAAGGGCAATGCCTACTGGAAAGTGGTGAATGACAGGGACAAGCAAGACAACGCTCAGCTGCCTGCCAACGGCCTGCTGCCCAAACGGCCCATTTCGGGGGCGTGGCCTGACATCTGCGACGTCCACAGCTCCACACTGAACGTGTGAGGAGGACGACGGACCCTCGGGAGGCCGGTCATCACGCTGCTGGCAGCTCAAGTACCAGCTCCCCGCATCCCAACTGCCAAGAAGGAAAAGCACGACTTCAGCCTTAACTGCAGCTCAGCATGGCCCAGGAGCCCCTGTTGCCTCTCAAAGCAGCCCCGCACCCTCGCCTCATTCTTTAATTTTTATTTTTAAAGACTTATTTATTCGGAAGACAGAATTAATAGGGCAGAGTGCAAGCTGGATTGCCCCTGCATCCCCGGGCTCATCTCCTGTGATACGGCTTTTAACATTCCACCCAGAAGAAAACCTTGAAGTCACAGGTTAAGACAAGACGTGGCCCATCAAATTAACTGACACAACTTCAGCAAGCTCAACGACCAGGCCACATTTCTCCTAGAGAAATAACTGCCGCTCAGCTTGCTGAGGCCTTAGACTCAAAATTCCTTTTTAAAAGGCATTTTCTTCTCCTGAAGGAGCTCGGAGGTCACTGCTCTGACAAGGGAAGATACCACAGGCTCTATTTTCTTGCTTCAAATAAGAACTTCTTCACGTGCCCTCGTGGGACTTCACCACGAGGGCTACAGTGTCCAGTATAAAAAATCAGTTACTAAATGCAAATTTCTTTGCATAAAAACAAATTTTCTTGTCAACTGAAAGGCTGTTGGGCTAAGGAGAGGGGCTGGGAGAAGCCCAGCATCTCTGCAGGGCACCATGGCCTCGCCGAGCAGTACCTGAAGGCTGACATCCGGGCGCTGTGTGCAGGCAGCCGAGTGGCTTGGCTGTGCGCAGGCTGCCCTAGCCCTGAGACTGGACACTGCCAATTCCGGGTTACAGCCTGTAATTATAGAACTTTACAACACTTCCATGATTAATTTTGCAAGTGTATCAAACCATCCCAAGCGCAATAAGTAAATGCCCAGTAAACAAGAGGACAAATGGCCAGGAATCTTGGCTAGGCTCAGCTCACTGTTGGTGGAGACTTCTCAGTCTCAAGGAAATCATTTGTAAAAATCCAGTTAAAACCAGCTCCGGCAGCTACTCCCCAGTCCAGTTCATGTCCTGCACAGGGTGGCTGGCACAGGAGGTCTGCCTGTACTTGTGCCGAGGTCCCCCATGCCAGTGTCACCCCAACATCCGAGAGACCGACCCATCTACTGCACTCCCCCTTCTGGAAATTCAGCGATCGGGAAAGACGAAGGCAGGCTGGCCTGCTGCAGGCACACGCGGCTGGACCTAAGTGACGAGCAGAACATTCTAGCAAGAAATTTGTGGATGGCACAAATTTAATGTTCTGATCTTTGTAATTTATTAATTCGACTGAGTTCAAATCATAATGTGAAGAATGCAAAACGGAAAAATACCAAGATATCTTAAATAAATAGCTTATTTATTCAAAATAATTTTCTTACCTTATTCACAGTTTCAGTGTAAGATGAAGGAAAAAGATAGTACCTATTCTGGATCAACTGTCTTACAAAGTCAAGGGTGGGGCGGCCCTGCCGAGAGCTGCCCGGGCGGCTGGAGGACCCAGCGCGGGGTCGCCGACAGGGCACACGGCTGCCCCGGACAGCTCGGAAGGGAACACTGCTACTTCAACTCTGAACCTGTAGAATCATCTGGATAAAAGTCCTCTTGACTGAAGTAGCATTTTATCCAAAATAATCCTGTCTTACATGTATGAAGCTTAACACGCTTGGACGACATGTGAAAGTGAACCTCATCTCAGCAGCTGTATTACTATGGAGACACCAGGCAGTCTCAAAGGATGGGCACGGGGCGCTTCCGGCTTGGTTCTGACTTCAGCACTCCCAGGAAAGCCAGAGCTCAAGCCCAGCTGTGTGTGAGAAGGGACGACCGTCTCCAGGCTGACCCGGGTGAAGTAACACTTCCCTCCGTTTAATGAGACACAGCACCAAGTGGCTGGAGCAGCCTCGTGTTCAGAAGGCACCGACAGCACGGGTGACGCGGCTCCGGCTTGTCACTGCACGGCACTGTGACCCTGAGCCAGCTGCTCCAACAGGTGGATGATGACGTCGACTCTTTCCAGAAGTGTCGCACTTTTGTTGGTGGTCGCTCTCAAAAGCTGGGAATAGATCTGCTTGTTGGTCTTCAGGGCTCCGTCTTCCTCGGTGTTACTGCTAGGGTCAGGAAAATAAGACAGGTGAAGGCCACAGTGAGGTCCACACGCACTCCCGAGACCCCGCAGCAGCTGCCACTCTGCGGAGAAGCGGGCGTCCGGGAGCATGCCCTCAACCCTACTTCCTCTGGCTACCGCCGGCAGGCCTGGGGTGCACCCCTCTGGCGAACCCCGAGTGCCACCACATGCCAGCTGCTGCTCTGTGCCTCCAAGCAGCTTGCACCGTCAGGCTGGTACAGCCAGGAACCACAGAAGCAGAGGTGAGCCAGCTGGGACACAGGGCAGGGAGCACCCTTCACGGAGTTCTTGGAAAAACTATGCACGGATTCCCAGCACCTGGGTACCAAAGGGGATCCATCCTGTCAGTCCAAGTTGGATGTGCCTTCGCTTTCCCACTGCTCTGGGCAAGAAGCCGCGCCTGCGGGCTCACGGCAGACACCTGAGCCCACAGCTGCACGCTGGCTCTACAGCCAGAACCAGCGAGGCTTCCTCCCAGTTCAGATGGGCAGACACAGGGTCTGCAATTTACCCTTGTAATCAACACACACACACACAAAAGTGAAAAATCTAAAAAATGCAAAAAAAAATTTACCCTTTAATCTAGCCTAATTCATTCTATTTTTTTTTTTTCACTACAACGAGGAAGAAAACAGCACTCAGAAAAAAGCAAAAAGCCACCCTCAGTGTCCACCAAGGGGTGGTTCTAGAAGCCCATAGGCCCAAACCCAGGGTGCTCAGGGCTCCGACGTGGGATGGCGTGGCAGGTGCACATCCTTCCGGGTCCCTAATCCACCCCTAGATGATGGCAGAACGCAGGACCAGGTAGATGAGTGCTAATCCTCGCTGCACTGCACTGTTTAGGAAAGAAGGCCAGCCACGCAGTCTGCCCAGACACAAGGGCTCTCCTGAATCTTTCTGGACCCCGAGGTGCAGCCCTGGGCATGGGCAGGGCTCACTGCACTCCCTTCCAACTCCTCCTGTGCTGCTTCCACCCCAAAACTCATATCAATTTGCAGTGAACTGATTTCACTTTGGGTAAAGGTATTCTCTGTGGTGAAGGCACTGAGGTTCTCACTTGCCTATCAGTGAGTCACCGAGACAGTACCCAGGATTGCTGATCCGGAAACCACCAACACAGCGTTACTAAAGTGTCACACTAAACACATATTTAGAAAATCAACATAAATTAACTAACTGGGCCTTCAGGAACCATGCACAAAAGCACTGATCTTTTCTTCAACAGAATTCTGGGTAAGGTGCACAGTAAGGCAGATATCAGAAACCCTCCACAAACAATAAAGCACACAGGTCACTCAGGACTATAACCATCAGAATGGACGCTGTGAGCTGAACCACTGGTCACTGACTCGAATAACTGACTCCGGCAAATTAGCAAACACTGCGTTCCTCATGTTACACTGCCACCTGCTTGAGTGGATGAAAAGCTGGCAGCTGCTTCTGCAGCTGTGTGCCCTAGGTCGGGCACACCTTGCCGCCCACGACAGGCAACAGACTCCGACTTCTTTAAGTTTACTTATTGGAAGGGCAGACACACACAGAGGCGGAGAGACACACACTTCTTGTAATGCACACACACAGGGGAACGGCCGACACAGACATGCGACAGCTCAAGGTATGTGGTTTTTGCTTTTCTGTTTCCCAAAGGTTGCTCCCTGGTCAGACCATACTTTAGTTTTAGAAAGAAAAGCTTGATGCCAGTGTTGTGGCTTAGCCGATGAAGCCACGAGCTGTGGTGCTGGTTTAAGTCCTGGCTGCTCACGAACAGTCGGGGCAAGCAGCAGAGGGTGGCCCACGTGACATCTCTGGAACAAGCCCCCGACTGCGCCAGCTTGGCCCAGCCCTGCTGCTACAACCATCTGGGGCAGTAACACGGTGAGTGGAAGGTCATTCTTGCTGGCTTTCAAATATAAATAAATCTTACTTTCTTCTTTTTTTAAAGATTTATTTTTTTTTACTGGAAAGTCAGATTTACAGAGAGAAGGCGACACAAAAAGAAAGATCTTCCATCCACTGGTTTACTCTCCAAGTGGCTGCAATGGCTAGAGCTGAGATGATCTGAAGTCAGGAGCTTCTTCCTGTCTCCCACGTGGGTGCAGGGAGCTGGAAGGTAAGTAGAGCAGCCAGGATACAATGTGCTACATGGCATTGCACATTGTACAAGGTCAGGACTTTAGCCACTAGGCTACCATGCCAGGCCCAAATATAAATAAATCTTAAGGGGGAAAAAAACACCCAAACCAAAAATTACTTTATAGAAGATGACTGCTAAGGGGTGGTGCTGTGGTGCAGTCGGTTGTACTGCTGTCTATAATGCCAACTTCCCATAAGTGCATCAGTTCAAGCCCCAACCTGAGAGAGGCAGGAGAAGATGGCCCGAGTCCTTGGGAAGATGGCCGGCGTGGGAGGCACGGATGCAGCTCCTGGCTCAGCAGCAGCTGTGTGGCCGTTAGGGAACTCGGCCTGCAGATCCCTCCAACTGCCTTCTGAATACATATCCTCAAGGAGGAGGAGGAAGAGAGCTGAATGTGAGTGCCAGGCCAAGTGCAGCGGTGGCCAGCACATCCTGGTGGGTTGTTCTGGCGCCAGCACAGGGGTAGTTGGTATCTGTCAATGTGTCTGACTTTTTTCTTGTTTGCTTTTAAGAAATGCAGAGTAGCAGGGTTTAGCCTACTATGCCACAGTGCTGGCCCTTGTCCAACACTTCCGAGAGGGTAAGCAGTGAGCACCCTTCAGCTCTGTCATCAAGGCTCCCCATGCAAGGAAAAGGGGGCAACAAGTCCCGGTGCCCATCAGCTGAGCACACACGAGGGGCTCATACTGCAGGTCATTCACACATGTGAGGGACCCTCATGGGCAGTCTCCGAGTGCCCACCAGGAGGGGACGCTGCCTGCACTCCTGCCCTGGTCCAGCTCCTCAGGGCGAGCTCTGCTTGGGCTCAGCACAGGCCCGCCTCAGCCCTGTGGGGGTGGCGGCCACAGTGCTGTTCCTCCACTCACTCAGCAGGTGCGTGAGGGACCCCTGGTCTGTGCTGGGCCAGGCCGTGAGCACGGACTAGGGCTGCTGCGGAGAAGGATGTGGGCAAGGAACGGCAGGCCAAAAAGCAGAGTCCTCCTGTGCTCCAGCAGTCCTCATTCTGTGTGGGCACTGCCCAGCTGCAGCAGGGTGAGGCACTGTGCCCTACTGTTCAGGGGAGCATCAGTCACCAGAGGCAGAAACCCCCATGGTCTACTGAAAGATGACAGGTGAACAGCTCTGAGTTCACACAGTGAAGGAGAACTCAGGGAGCCGGGGCTGGCAGTGTGCGCTGTGGCACCGGGACTGGCAGTGTGCGCTGTGGCACCGGGACCGGCAGTGTGCGCTGTGGCACCGGGGCTTGGCTGCTGCCCGGGATGCCAGCACACGTGTCAGAGCACATTCGAGCTCCTGTCCTCTCCGCTCACTCCAGCTTCCTGCTGATGTCCTCGGGACGCCCTTGGGCCTCTGCGCCCACACGGGAGACCTAGATGGAGCTATGGGCTTTGGCTTCAGCCTGTTAAAGCCACTCTCTGTAACTGCCTGCCACATGTCACCCACATGGGAGACACACACCGAGCTCCTGGCACCTGGCTTCGGCCTGGCTGCGCTCTAACGCTGCAGATGTCAGGATGAACCAGCAAATGTAAGATCTTTGTGTGTGTCCATGTTTCTCCCTTTCAAGAATAAAGACAAGGTTCAGAGCGCTCCTGGAAACCTGCAGGACTTCCATCCCAGGGTCACTCGCCTCTTCAAACAGCAGGGCACTCCCCTCAGGCAGCACTGCGTGTCCTGAGCATCTGGAAGCCCAGGAATGCAGCAAGCTCCATGGACACGAGTCCCACCACGTCAAGCCTAACACTTAAAATCCTTAATCATGCCCTAAGGGAAGACTATAGCCCATCTTTACTTGTCGGTACAGATCCTGGCATGTTTTCTAGGTTTGATGCTAGGAAAGAAATTTCCATCCGGAGCCTACATTGTGTGGCACAACGGGTGAGGCGCCAGTGCATGGGATGTCGGCATCCCAAGGCCGAGCACTGGTCCAAGTGCCTGGGCACTGCCACCACCTGGGAGACGAGGGTGGCTCCTGGGCTTCTGCCTGGCCAAGCCCTGGCTGTTGCAGTCACTTGGGAAGTGAACCAACAGATGAAGATATCTGATATTCTGCCTTTTAAATACATAATCCTTTCTTAAATAAAACCCACAGGTAATTACCGAATTTACCTTGTTTTCTTTTTCGTTGAAGACAGCAGCTTGATGGACTGAAGCAGAAGGAACGACAACCGAGACTCGAATATTCCGAGGAGCTTCGTCACCTCCTCCCGTCGGAGCGCAGGGGCCGCCTCGGCAGCGGGCGCCGTCTCCTCAGGCCTGGGCTGGACGGCAGGTGCCGAGTCATGGAACCACAGACAAGTGCAGCACGCAGTCCCACCCACGGCCAACTTCTCACAGCTCATGTAAGACCACTTGGACTGACCAGCACATGGCAAGAATGCTCACCCAACAGCCATTTACATTCAAAACTAAACAACACGGTGCCTCCCAAAGGACAATCCTGACTCGGAGCCTGCCGCAGCCCACTCACCAGGCACCCTGCTGCTACTGAGTTCAGTGAGAATGATCAAAGGGCCTGGACCTCTTCCATCTAATAAAAAGCAACCCACATTCCGGGCCGGGTACTGAAGGCTACTGGCTAAAGTCCTGGCCTTTCCCATGCCAGGACCCCATACGGGCACCGGTTTGAGTCCCGGCTGCTCCACTTCCCATCCAGCTCCCTGTTTGTGGCCTGGGAAAGCAGTCGAGCATGGCGTAAAGCCCTGGGACCCTGCACAGCACGGGAGACCTGGAGGAAGGTCCTGGTTTCAGATCGGGTCAGCTCCAGTCATTTTGTGATCATTTGGGAAGTGAACCAGTGGACAAAAGATCTCTCTTTCTGTATCTCCTTTTCTCTGTATACCTGCCTTGCCAAAAAAAAAAAAAAAAAAAAAAAAAACAACAACAAAACTTAGCAACAACAAAAGGTAACCCCTAGTCCAGGATGAAGAGGTTTAGGAACTTTATAACTGGTTAGTACCTTATTAAGAATGATTTAAGGGACTTATTAAGGCACAGCTTAAAAAACATCTTTAAAATATGAAAGATACACTGTAGATTAAAGAGGCATTTAATAACTTCACTATGCAAATTAAGAAGTCACTGTTAGCGTTTCTATGTGGAGTAGACACACAAGTGTGTATCCACATGCACACCCCACCCACACGCAGCCCGAGCCGCGTGGAGCACAGGCCGCGGCCTCGCCTCACCTGCTCCAGCTCCTCCCGCAGCTCCTTCCGGAGCAGCTGCAGCGCGGGTTCCGTCCTCACCATTGTGTCCAGAGCTCCAGACAGCGTTTTCAACTTTCCAACATTGCTATTCTGACCTAACAAACCAGACACAGAACAACATTCCTCAGAGGATGCTCAGAAGGGCACCAAGTCCTCAAGTCCAGTCTGCTGCCAGCTGTCCTGAGAAACACGCTCAGTCTAGACAGCACAATGTAGGGAGAAGACAAGCTGTCTGGACGGAACCCGAGCCTGCAGCCCACCCACCAGCCAACAATCACTTCTCCCATCTGTGCACAGGATGACCAGATGACCACGCTTTCCTGGCACTCCTCACCCACAGCTGCCACTGCTGCCAAGCCCCGTGCCCCTGACCTCCTCGGGCCTTCGTGGCTGCGGCCAGCTGTGTGCTCTGTCCAAAGGTCTGGCTCTGGGGCACACAGGACATCCCCGAGGAAGGCCTCACTGAAGCCAAGCCGGCCTGGGGAAGCAGGGACCACCACGAGCAGGCTTCCTGAGATCTCGTGGCGAGTCCCACGAGAACAGCTGGACTTCATCTGCCCCGTGGACAGTCAGCCACGTTTGTGACCAAGTCTCCACATAAACGCAGGTGAGCCTTGACACACTGGAGCACGGTCCCGTACTGTGGGGGAGGGGTGCTGTCCATGACTAGTGCAAGGGGTCCCCCGACACCCCTCCCGCCTCGTCCTTGGCCAACTAGCATCTCTGTTCTTTCCTGGTCAAACTGTCATGGCAAGAACAGCCTGGGTGAGAGTCCTCCTCATGAACCATCAAGCCTCGGGGTGTCCTTGGGGACCCCAACCTTGGCCTCTGTAGGTGGGGAGGCAGTAACTACTACCTCCGTTACAGCACAATCCCAACTTTCAGAACAAGCTGTTATCTTGACTGTCAGTGGTGAGTGAAACTTGAGTGTAGAGTGGCATCCAGAAAGCCAGCTCTGCTGTCCTTGTGCCCTTGTCAGAGCGGCCATGCGAGCGCTGGGGAGATCAGCCGATCACACACAGACTAGAGAGCAACTGGATCAAATGTCGCGACAGGCACCAGGAAGCAGGGCGTCTGGAACATGGCTTACAAGGCCCTCAGCGCCGGCTAGCCAAACCCCTAAAACAGTCACATTATTTTTCCAAGGTGCTATTTTTATTCCTAGCATTTCATTTCTTTGCAATGACGGCTTCTCTAAGGAGCACAAATACAGTAGAAAAATTTCAAAATGCAATGAGACAAAGACAGCTCTTGGCTGGCCCCAGACACTGTTCGGTGATTACCCCAGGCAACAAGCAGGAGGCAGACTGGGGTGGAGTAACCAGGACTTGAATGGGTGCCCATGTGGGATGCTGGCACCACAGCAGGATGCTTAGCTTACTATGCCACGGTACTGGACCCAAAGTTGTTTCCAAATCAGGGGTCACACACACAGTCCAGCACTTCTGGTGACGTCATCTAGTACATTTCTCTAACTTTTAAAAGTTCTTTGATCCTCGGGCTCTGGCGTCAGCATCCCACACGGGCACTGGTTTAAGTCTTGGCTCTCCACCTCTGATCCAGCTCTCCACCTCTGATCCAGCTCTCTGCGGGGCCTGAGAAAGCAGGATGGCCCGAGGCCCTGGATCCCTACCCCCACGGGAGAGACCCAGAGAAAGCTCCTGCCTCCCAGCTTCAGATCAGCCAGCACTGGCCGAGTGAGCCAGAGGACGGAAGATATCTCTGTCTCCTTCTCTCTGTAAATGTGCCTTCAAGTAAAGTAAAACTATAAAAAAATCCAAAGTGTGCAGAAATTCTGGTCCCTATCCAAGGAAATTAACTATGGTTCAACTGGAAAACAAAACAAAAAACCCAAAAAACCAGTCCTACTCCATCCAAGAGTGCCTCAGGTCTGTCTTAAGCCAGTCCAACACTAAGCCGAGGAAGGAAAAGCAGACTTACTGGTCATCTGGAATTCTGCAAATGCGACTCTTTCCAACTGCACTCTCAGCAGCTCGCAGGGAGCGTCTCTGAGAAGCTGGAAGAGCTTGACAGCCTTGCCGTAATGGAGATCTGCCAGCACGCGGTGCTGCTTCCGCAGGTGCTCATCGCCAACCTGGAGCCAAAACCACAGTGAGCGACGCCAGCGGCCCCGAGACCCGGGGGTTGCAGCGCAGGAGCGGGCACGCACATCCCCACCTCAGTTCTCACGTTTAGGTCTGAGATCTGCTTCCAGTGAATTTTCTGGCCATGACATGGGGCAGGAGTCCAACTCCACCCTCTGCACACTCATATCCAATTGTCCCCGCGTCACTGGCCAGAAGCTTGCTTCCCACTGAGCTGCACTGGCCCTCTAAGGCTTCCCTCTGCCAGCGGCGATCATGCCATCTGGGCAAACTTGAATTCTGGAGGGGAGGCCTCGGGCAGGAGGGGATAAATTCTCTCCAGATGAAGCTGGATGTCACAGGCCACCACCCTCGGCACTCGGGCAACTGAGAAGGAAATCAGGAAAGGGGCCAAGAGCAAACAGCACCGCGGGACAGACGAGCCCCAGCAGAGACGAACAGCTCCCCGAAGTCAAGCCCTTCCGATCCCCGGGACGCAGCTATAGCGCAGGAGACTCTGGGTCACTTCTAACAAGGTTACTTTTGGAATTGCCCAGAATCTTGGTAATCACAGAATAATTAAATAAACATGATATATTCACTTAACAAACACCACTGAGCCTAGAAAATAGCTTTGTGTGCCAACATGGATGAATCCTAAACTGTTACGTGGCAGGCGGTGAGCACACCGGCACGTACAAGATCGTCCGTGCCACAAAGCACTAATGCAGACACAACTCCCACGTCGGTTTCCTGGTAACACACACACAACGCTCAGCCCCTGGAACATTCAGGAACGCAGTTCATGTGGGTGGGCGTCCAGGGAGGAACACGGGGTTCCCTACTGCTCCGTCTGTGGGGGATGTGTCTTCTGTTTTTATGTGCAGCTTTCATTGTAAGAGGTCCACGTTCCTTTCTGAAAGAAGTCTAAATAACCCACTCCAGCAGTGTAGCTTGCAAGCTGAGCATTAACCAATTCCCATAAACACACGTAGGTGACAGCAGAAAGAGCCTATCAGCCTCCACACATGAAAGGCAGCACGGAACACCCGCGTGGCAAGGCAAGCAGCCCCAGCCCACGGGCCGCGGGTGGGCGGCCGTACCTGGTTCCGCAGACAGCTGTGGTACATGGAGGCCAGGCGGTGGTGGATGGTGGCCGCTCGGTACTGGCAGAGCGGCTGCCGCGCCGACAGCGAGTCCAGGTCGCAGTGCTTCAGCGACTTCATCATAGCCTCGCTGACTTCCTTCTCAATCTAAATAAATAAATGACTCTAAGAATTGTCTAAATATTTAAATACTGCCCAAGGCGTACACGGTAACGGCCGCTCAGTGCTTGCTAAGGGAGTGTGAAGCGAGGCCCCGATCTCGAGTGAGCCGGACTATTACCTGCTCTTGGGCTTTTCTCGACAAAGGAGCGTAATCCTGCTGCAGAGTTGCCATGGTGAAGTAGGTGGTGGACAGCTCCCAGTTCACCGAGTCCCAGACGGCGGGGTGAGTGTCGCGCGTGCCCAGCGACCTCAGCGCCTTCAGGTAGTAATCCACAGCCTGCAACAGAGCACCAAGGATGCATGACTGTGGGTGCTCCCATGACAGCCTGACAGCCGCTGCACACTTCCATCCGGAGCCTGGGCAAGCCCAGCCCTGGGTAACGTCCTCTGAGCCACGGCAAAAATGCAAACAGGTGCATTTTTCTTTGTAGGTATAGGAGGTTTTCCCTCCTCCCCCCCTTCCCTATCTGTCCCACCCGGGGGGTGGCAAGGGTCAAAAGCACCCAGACCATCTTCTGTTGCTTTCCTAGGTGCACGAGTAGAGCTGAACTGTGCCCACATGGGCTGCCAGGAGCACACGCAGAAGCGTCACGTGCTAAGCCACCCCGAGGCCTCAGGAATCCTTGTTCCTCACACGGTC